CCTTGTTTATGATTTTTACTAGTTTTACTTGAGTTTATCTAGCATTGGTCAACTTCCACTGCTTAGAGAACAGTAGGCATTGTGTGACTGAATTTTCTCTGCTGTGGTTCTTATCAATTAATTTAATGACTCCTTGATTTTTCTCAGTCTTCTCATTATTCTGTTATTTGTTACTTTTGTTTGAGTCAAGTAATGGGCTTTCTATGTCAGCAGGGTATATCTATTTTAGTTTGCGATGGAAATGGACGATTTGCTGAGTGCATGTGGGTGCACTGTTTACATACCACACACATTTTTTAAAAATGTTTTATTGATTTTTCTTAGAGGAAGGGGGAGAGAGAGAGAAACATCTTTGTGAGAGAGATACATGGATCAGCTGCCTCCCACACGCCCCCTACTGGGGATTGAGCCCGCAACCCGGGCACGTGCCCTGACCAGGAATCTAACTGGGACCTCTCAGTCCATGGGATGACGCTCAATCCACTGAGCCACACTAGCCAGGCCCACACATATTTTTATATATAGAAATACACACATGCATGTTTTTTAATGTTTAGGGCTTCAAGCAGCAAGCTCTTACCGTATCCACAGATCCTGAGCATCGCTTTGAACTTGCTCTTCAGCTTGGAGAACTAACAATTGCGTACCAGTTAGCAGTGGAAGCAGAGGTATGTATTGATAAGTCAATAGGTGTTTCTATGTGTTTAGTATAAATTACAAACTAAACTCATTTTGCTGAGGTTATTGCCTCGTTGGTCTTGTTAAAAAATGTATTATGTTTAATTTTTGCATAAATCACATGGATTATGAGACACTACAAATGACAGATAATATTTATTGTTAAATACTTAAGGACATAAACAATTTTCTAATCTTTCCAAAAAATGGTATTAAATCACTCATTAAAATGATGGCACAATCTAATTACCTTAAAACTTCTATTAGTTTTTTATTTTCAGTATATAATTACAAAATAAAAATGTAATGGATTGATGATTATTCATGTATCATTAAAATTGATTTGTGTTTGAATTTTGTTTATGTGAATAATTTCCATTTCCTCATTATACATTTTGTCATTCCATTTTATTTTGATTGATAGAATCAGCTTAATTAACCACAGCTCGACATAGCGTGGGGCAAAAGTAGGTTTACAGTTATATGTGAAAATGTTTATTCTTGTATTAATTATTGCATTATTTCCCATATGAATAACTGTAAATCTACTTTTGCCCCACCCTATATATGTTTCCCATTGTCAGCACAGAATTGTTCAGGTTAAAAGAATAATGTTGATGTTAGAAATTCAGATGTTTATTTCCAAAGATTATTTTAACTCGGAAACTTTCTTACAGTCAGAACAGAAGTGGAAACAACTTGCTGAGCTTGCCATTAGTAAATGTCAGTTTAGTCTGGCCCAGGAGTGCTTGCACCATGCACAGGATTATGGGGGTCTCTTGCTGTTGGCTACCGCCTCTGGAAATGCTTGTATGGTGAACAAGCTAGCAGAAGGTGCGGAGAGAGATGGCAAGAATAATGTGGCATTCATGAGCTACTTCTTACAGGGCAAGTAAGTATTAATCCAAGGTCTAAAAGACCTGGGCATAGTAATTAAAAGCACTTCTTCATTGACTTTGAGGCTGGATTTTGGAGAGGATTGTGAAGACTGAACCCTACAAAAAGAGCTGATGGCTGGCCAAGTGGCATTGCTAGTGGGGGTAGTGAGGACAGTGCTACCTTGATGGCACTCATCTTCAGCAAAGGATGCCCTTAGCACACTGGGGCTGAATGTTTGAGGAAAATGAGCTATTCAAGGAGGCTCAATAGGGAGAAATTTCTCAACAGCCCTGCCCCTTACTGGCTGAAGTATTTTATGACAGCAGGTTACTTGTGCTGCTCCAGTTGGTATCTGAATGGCAGATGACTTTACCAAACTGGATTTTTCTGATCTGTTCATAGTAAGAATAAAGGGACATGATGCCAGTTACTTTCAGATTTGAGTGTAACTGTAAAGCATAAACATGTCATATCTAAAAGTTTGGGATGAAATAAAACAAAAAAGTATTCATTAACCTTGCTCTACATGCTAACTTTTTTAACCCCACACCACTTTATCATAAAATCTTTGAATGTGCACCCCCCAGTATATGTATGTATTGTATACTTAATATTCATGTATTTAGTATATATTACAGACAATATTTATAAATGTATATATCTCTAAAAATAGGTCCCATTCTTCCTTACCTATAATTCAAAAATCCAAAAATATTCTGAAAATAGCTTTCTTTAACTTGGTTTCAAAACAGGACCTGAACTCTGAAATACTATTAGTTACTTTTATGCCACTAGGTGTGTCTTTATAGCATATTAATCTTTGTGATTTTCATTTGATACTGCTATTAGGTAATATATATAGTATTACCTTTCTAAAATCCAAAGCGTTCTGAATTCTAAAACACATTTATCAAACTTAAAAAGAAAAAATGAAATTAAAAAACAGAAAAAGTAGACACTTGGGTATTTTCCAATTGGGCACCATTGGATTGTGCAGCACAGCCCATGTTGGAGACACTGCCTTCAGTATTCCCACTTGGGAACTGCGGTTTTTATTCCCCTGTCTCCTGAAGCCTTTAAAAGGTACTCATCTCAACTGCTAAATTGTCTTGAAAAGCCCCTTTTGATTCTGTTTAGGGAGTTAAAACAAGGAGATTGAAAATGGTCACAAAAGCTTTCTTACTGTTCATAACTCCTGAGTCCACTGATTGAGGAACATACCAGTGATGACAGGTTAATGGCTCAGTGACAAAATGTGTATGTGTGGGAGTTGGGGAGGGAATGCTGACTTTGCAACACTAAATCCACATTTCTTTAATGTATTAAATGCCGGTGTTACAGCGATTATTCTTGGCAACAGTGCCTTTCCTTTTCAACCTTTAGGCTTGATGCCTGCCTGGAGCTCTTGATCAGGACTGGACGACTGCCAGAAGCTGCCTTCCTGGCCCGGACTTACTTACCCAGCCAGGTGTCAAGGTATAGACTTTTAATTTTAGGAAGAAATGTTTCAAATAAAAACAGCACACTTATTTAGTCTCCCTTTGGTTCCATGATATCTATATTAGGGTGGTTAAACTCTGGAGAGAAAATCTCTCAAAAGTCAATCAGAAAGCAGCGGAATCCCTTGCTGATCCAACAGAGTATGAAAACCTTTTTCCTGGATTAAAAGAAGCCTTTGTTGTGGAAGAATGGGTGAAGAAAATGCATGCTGATCTGTGGCCAGCTAAACAATACCCCTTTGTCACGGTGAGTGGCCAGGGTGCCAGGCCTCATTTGTTGTGACTGCGGGGTGAAAGTGCATTCATTACTCAGGGTTTTGAACTGTACTACATATGTTATTATTGGAGTAAGAGCCAGTGACTAGGATGTAAGCCAACTTCCTAGATGAATTACAACTTCAAAATATTTCACTTTATTATTGCTTTATTCTGATAGCCAAATGAAGAAAGAAATGTTATGGAAGAGGCAAAAGGCTGTCAACCCTCAAGATCTGCAACTCAACAGGTCGGTGGAATGGTACATAAGATGACCTGGTTGAGATTTGTTGATTAAGTACTATCTCCCACTTAACTAATTCTGATCAGCCTTTCCTTGGGGGAAACTGTTAAATTCCTGAACAAATTCCTGTCTTTACATGTATCTCCACTTGGCTTTTCAGGAGCTTGATGGGAAACCTGCTTCTCCTACTCCAGTTATCATGGAGTCCCATGCAGCCAACAAAGAGGAAAAGGTATGGCCACCATCCCCAAACTTCCCATTGGAACCCCAGCCTCACCCCTCCCCGGACACATCTGGAAGGTGTGCAGGCCTCTGTATTTTAAGTGATGTAATCAGTTTCAGAGCAGGGATTTGGAAATAGGAAGAAACCCTTTTTGACTGACTAAAGGCATATATCATATTATTGTACTTCACAATTACTGTATTTTTTAAAATTTGAAGGTAAGCCCTCCTCATCCCCCAGCAAAAATATTACAACTTGCTAAAGGCTCAGATAATGGTTAGCATTTTTTAGTAATGAAGTCTTTAAATTATGTACAATTTTAGACAATGCTATTGCGAACTTAATAGACTACATACAGTCCAGTGTAACCATAACTTCTATATGCACTGGCAAACAAACTGCTGTCACTTGCTTTGTTGAGTTATTCACTTTATTGTGCTGGTCTGGAACCAAACCTGAAACAGCTCTGAGGTGTGCTTATGTTGTTTTAGTTCTCTTTGGATCATGAATCAAAGCTAACTTTTCTTTAACACAGCCCTATATGACTCACCCTCTTCCTTGTAGAGTTTACTTGAACTGGAAGTAGATTTGGATAATTTGGAATTAGAAGATATTGATGACACAACAGATATCAACCTGGATGAAGATATTTTGGATGACTGAATGTAATGTTTCCCATTTACCCAACTAAACAGATCATTATCATGGACAGGTATTGTCACCCCGACCGTAGTACTTTGGGACTCTGAGAAGAAACTCCTTGAATTTTAACATGTAAACACTGCCCTCCTTGTCGTCAGAGAGTGTATATTGCAGCATCTACATCACTGTTTCCTTGTTAACTAAAATAGACATGGCTTTGATTTTTTTTTCATACTACATTAGACCATTATTTCATAAAATCTTTTGAATTAATGAAGACACTTCAAAGCTTCCTTTTTTAAGTAATGAAAATAACATCTAGTTTTAGAAGGCTGGACCAGGGATATACCTTATACAGTTCAGTCTGCATCACTAAATCATATTTATACATATCATCAATTACATTGTTCTTGCCGAGGCATCCACACTGCACTTAAATACTCTTCTCAATTAACTCTGGTAGCCTGGGAAAGTGAGTGGGTAACAAGTTTTCTTTGTATTTCTGTTAGGGAACTCCATTTCAGTACCTTTTAATTTTGAACACTCAGCTCAATCAATGTTAACAGAAAGCTAGTTAGTATTTAGCAAAATGAAATTTATTTGAAAAAAATTTTCAGGAAGCTACAGAATGACTAATGAATGCTTCTTGATAAGCTTGCAGTGTTAATTCTATATATGCTCCCTTCTGTGCTTCTGTTTTTGCAAACACCTGTTTAAATTAAAAAAAAAAAAAGTCTTAAAGCAATAGAACATATACTATTTATAAAGCTTTTAGTTTTAAGACATCATTAGCATCCCTCTAGTAGCAAAGTACCAGTTTAAAAAGCCAAGTTTCTCAATTATTTGTTTTCTGATTATAAAGCGATAAACATACTACAAGGACAGAAAAACAGTACCCAGCATAGTTCAAGCAATTAACATGGGAAGTATCCTAGTAAGAAAACTTGATGTTGCACTTCCTGTTAGATCAAAATTAAAACCATTATGTTCAATAGAAATATGGAAGATCAGCAAACTACATTTCCACTTTAAAGACTGTTTTCTCCAAAGCATTCTGCTTTATCTGGCTTATCACAGAAAACCAGTGTTCATACTGGAGTTTCTCTCTGCTCCTACAGTGTTCATCACTGGTCATTTTAGTCTAAGCAAGCTTGATAACTGCTTTGCAAGCAAATGCATAAGATAATACTGAGATAAAAGCCAGATCCACAAAACCATGTCTATTTCTGAGCATTAGAGGAGATGAAAATTATAGAATGATCTCCCCTTCCTAAAAAAAAAAAAATCAACTCTCAACATCACAGAGGAATATGTGTAATTGCACAGTTTGAGAAGACTACAGTTCAAAACAATATGCAACTGAGGCTTGGATAATAAATAGCACCACTACCTCCCCTTCTGGATTCCTGGGCAAGAATGTGACCACACTGGGCACATGTGCCACCGAATCCTCCACCATGCCTTGCTGGTGACTTGATCAGCTCAGACAACAGTACTCTAAGGAACAAGGGGGCAGCTGCCCCAGCCCTGTCCAGGCTGAAGAAATATGGGGGCTCTAATCACTGTTTCAAGACCACAAATCTGTTAAGTTACTGTTAAATATGACCTACTTCAGAATTCTTCCCAACTCAATTATCTTCACACAACAGCCAATGTGGAAAAGTCCCTTTACCTTAATTAAATGTAATCCCTCAGCAGCCTGCTCCTTGGCCTCTTGAGCTGATGGGCCATCTGGATGGAGGATGTGATACAGCTGAACCAAGCTGGTGGCATCATCGACTCTGGAGAATGAAAAAGTTTTGTTTTCTCCATTTGCTCAGTCCTATAAAAGGGTGTGCCAACTTGAAACTAAATTACATTTCAAGTTTCCCTTGTGCCAGAAATTCTATTAATCCTTCAGTTTTATATTTTCAGGGAAATTAGCTAATTTAGGCTTCATACCAGGTAGGTAGGGCGGGTGTCTCTACAGCCAATGCCCAATTTATAAAGTGACTATATTCTAAAAGTGGCTGTATTTTTTGAGGAGGAGCAACAGCATTGCTAATGGTAGATGATTTCTAGGACAGCCCACTTCATCTGCAGACAATGTAATCCAACTCAGAGGGCAGGAATATACCTTCATCCCACGTAAGACAGAGGCTGCTGGTCAGGGATGCTCAACGCCACTGCCTGTAAGTATTTGCAGTGACATCTATTAAAAGTTTCGTTGAGACTCTGAACTGGTGCATAAATAAAAAAACCTCTATAAGAGGTCTCCTAGGAGTCCAAGGAAAGACTCCCAAGCCACCTGTGTATTCACAGGAACCCATTAGTTAAAAAATTAGTGTCCTAGTGAAGCAAATTTGAAATCATGCACATCAGATGAAGGAAGGCCAGGTTCTACTTCAGCAGTGTAACGAGTCACACACTGTCTCTGATGAGCAGAACAAGAATACAATCCAGGATTGTACTTAAATTTTCAGACAACTTTTATCAATGTTAAAACTTCCCTATTCTTCACCAATCACTAACTTCTCAGATATTCAACACCTTCCTATTTGCCACCTCAAAACTGAGGGGATATTTTAAAATAATCGTTCTAATATGCTTGTGTTTTTGAGGTTCTGCTGTGTATTGGCTTCTGGTTGGGGTAGAGTGAGGACACCCTAAATCAATGCTCCCCAGCTATCACCCTTTGACATGCCCCGCTTTCCTATTATTCCAATAAATGTGGCAACAAAATATAAAAGTAATTCCCTTTAGAGCTTTGGCAGATGATCTCATCAACAACTTAACTGGGTTTCTGTAAGTTAGAATCATGTTTAGGGCTTCATTACGTTCTTGGCAAAGTATAATGCCTACATCCCACAGAACAAGGTAGCTTCACACCCAGCCATATTTGAAATTTAAAAATCTGCATGTTCAAAAAGATTTTAACAGAATTCAAAACCAACAGTGGGGCCTGGCCAGTGGTTCAGTTGGTTGGAGTGTTGTCCTGTATACCAAAAGATTGCAGGTTCAATTCCTGATCAGGGCACATACATACTTAAGTTGTGGGTTAGGTCCCTAATCAAGGTGTGTATGGGAGACAACTGATCGATGTTTCTTTCCCTCACACTGACATCTTTCTCTCTCTAAAAATCAAACGTGTCCCCAGGTGAGGATTAAAAAAAACTTACGTCTGAAATGTTTGCTGAATCCGAATTCTGGCCTTTTCCATTCAGTGAGGACATGCACCCTCTACTGGCTAACCTGGGATTTGCAGCAAGCTATTCAGTCCCACAGGAAGTTTTTTACAAAAGGTTAACTCAGTACACAAGACTCCTTCCTCTATGCAAATAAACTGCTTCAGATGTAAAGCTTACATGTCATAATTACTATATTATCACATATTAGTACACCTCAGTAAAGAATTTTAACTTTTAGCCCTGGCCAGTGTGGCTCAGCGGTTAGAGCGTCGGCCTGCGGTCCGGAGAGAACCGGGTTCGGTTCCCGCTAAGGGCACGTACTTCGGTTGCGGTTTGTCCCCGGCCCTGGTTGGTCGTGCGAGTGGCAGCCACTCGATGTGTCCCTTCGCGTCGATGTTTCTCTCTTTCTTTCTCTCCCTTCCACTCTATCTGTACAAAAAATGGAAAAATATCCTCGGGTAAGGATAAAAAAAAAAAAGAATTTTAACTTTCAAAGACATTTCTGTGTTGCTGTAATTTCAGAATGATTACATTTGAGACACTTTAAGAAACTTCATTCACAGGTGATGTCAATGCTAATGCACCTAAAGGCAATTCACTTTGAGCATCCTCATGGCCACCAGCCAGCCCCCTGCTTATGTGGGATGTGTATATATATATTCCTGTCCTCTACACTGGATTACAGTATACATTACTACCATTAGGAATGCTATTTCTATGACAAATGATGCTGTTTCCAAATATGGGCTGTATTACTAGACAATGCCTACAGTGCCTTCTAGTTACAAATGCCTTACCTTTGTATGAATGGTTCGGATTACATGCTGTGAGTCAAAACGCCTTAGTTTGAAGGTGGCATTAACACTAAACCCCCTTCTTGTAGCTGACTTTCTTAGTACAGCCATGCTAGTTTTTTTTTTCTTGTCATCTTGGCCTTTCTAACTCAGTCAACAGAAAGACATTCAGAAACAAACTTCTCTTCTGTGCTATCACAAGTTGTAAAGTATGCTATTATTTCAGCTAGAAAGCTGGGAGCTCACCAATCTGCATGCTAAAATACAACAGACAGTCTTTGTTTTATGCAACTTTGAAAAATGTAACCTTTTCAATGCCTAAAATTATTGCAAAAAGCAAGGGTATTTTCATAAATGATGAGGTGTAGTCCTACCAGAAAATAAGCACAATGCTTCCCCCTTCCCCTCCAAGCTATGCCAAGCTCAAAGTTTACTGAGCTCTGGCCAGTGTGGCTCGGATGGACCCGTGCACAGAAGGGTTGCTGGTTCGGTTTCCTCAAGGGCACATGCCCAGGTCACAGGCTCTATACTCAGTGGGAGGTGTGCACGAGACAGCCGATGGATGTTTTACTCTTATATCAATGTTTCTCTCTCCCTCTTCCTCTCTAAAAATCAATTAAAAATCTTAAAAAAGCCCTGGCCGGTTTGGCTCAGCAGTTGGAGCGTCGGCCTGCGGTCCAGAGAGACCCGGGTTCGGTTCCCGCTAAGGGCACGTACCTCGGTTGCAGTTTGTCCCCGGCCCTGGTTGGTCGTGTGGGTGGCAGCCACTTGATGTGTCCCTTCACATCAATGTTTCTCTCTCTCTCTCTCTTCCTCTCTCTCCCTCCTGCTCTATCTGAACAACAACAACAACAACAAAATCTAAAAAAAAAAAAAAAAGTTCACTGATACACATGAGCATTGGCCACACCAGGGATAAGTCAACATCCAGGTATACAGAACAGATCCAAAGCCACTTAGTTTTTCAAAGAATCTAGCTCTGTTTACACAACATGAAAGCAAACACAGAAAATTGGGTTATGCTGGAAGAACAAACCCATAAATAAACTGAAGTAAATTAAAACTATCATTGGGTAGTACAATTATCAATGGAAAAATAGCATAGCTTAAACACAGACTTACTATAATGGTAATAAGAATTTCTTTCATTTATGAATTAAGGTCATACTTACAAATCTCTCTGAATCTGGTCAATCAGTAAACCATCAATCTTTTTCTTATTTACAAAATACCAAGCCATTCCACCAAAATGTCTTGTTGAACGTAAAAGATCATACTTTCCATGTTTATCTATATCTTCATAGGTCTGATGATGAACCTATCCACATAAGATGCAATTTTTTCAGAAACATGAAAATAAAAAGTGAGTGGCATTACTGGATATACATTTACTAGCATGAGTACTGCCCAAGAAAGTATCAGTAAAATCAGGTCTACTTATACCTGCCTCTACTGTCATTAACCAGAAGATGATTTAGACCAACCCTCCACTGCAGACATAAATGGCAGCCTGGAACAAGTCTGCCAAACATTTATAGACAGATCAATTACCTTTCAGCAGCCAGACCCTTTTTATGAAGTACATATATATAGTATAGAACACTGGAAATACTGGACCGCTATTTCTTAGTCACTAGGGGAAAAAAATGAAATCAAGACTATTTCACTCCTCCCCCTTTCCCCCATCTTATCAACTACCCTATCCCATCAACTATTCCTTTCCATCTTATTAACTAATGTTCCTTGAGTTCTTGATCTTCCAGAATGAAGACTTGGACTTGGACAAGGGCATTCCTGTACTCAAAGGCTTTCAAAAACCTTCTGTTTGAAGTCCAGGTTCCTCAGCCTAGCATCTGAGGTCACCTGTGACAGGGCCCTATCTACCCCTCTAGTTTAATCCTGAACCACAGCCTACATATACACTACATATACAAGCACACCAGATGAGTGGCTATTTCTCAAGTATACATTGTTTCCTGCCTGTACATACTGTCCCTTATGCCTAAAACACCTCTTCACCCAACTCCACCCACCACAATGTTCCCTGCCCTTTTAGAGCCCTCTTTAAGATCCCTGTGAAGCCTTTCCGGAGAGCACTTGGTTACCTTCTCTTAGCACCTACCATCTTAGACCTGAAGTGACAGTCATCTGTGTGCTTATGTAGCACCCTCCCCACGGCCATTTCTGGACTGCAAGCTCGACACAGCACGCCCTATCCTAGTTCATGTCCATCACCTAAACTACCTTACACGTAGAAGGTACTTCACGATTACTTATTAAATTGAATTGTAAGACACACACACTGCATTTTGGTAAATTTCAGTAAGTAACTTTGCTCCTGTATGATACATTGAAAAGATAATAGGCTTTGTCATCAACTTTGGACCCTGACTCTACCACTTACTAGCTATGCAACTTTCAGCAAGCTACTTCTCAAGATTAAATTTTCTCATCCTTCTTCAAGGGCTGTAAGGATAAAATATCTATCTGGTAAACATCAGGCCCTTGACAGGTATTAAGGTATTTCCCTTCTCTTCCCCCTGTATCAAAGCTTGTAACTTAACTCATTTTGCTAGATTAAAAATCTTATCATAACCATACTTAAGCCCATACTTTAGAAACTAGAAAATATACTCACTTTGATATATTCAGCAGAATCTGGCTCAAACTGGGCAACGCAGAGATTGAGGACATCACCATGCCGGTCCTGACTATACATGGTCTAGAACCGCACAGCAGAGGAGGAATTAGATGAGCACGGAAGTTCAACACCTATCCTGACGCCATGACAGGCTGCCAGCCACATACAGGCCACACCTGTGCCCATCAAGAGGTACACAGAAATAACACAGCTTTGTAACTGTTACACCTGGGTTCAAATCCCAGCTACAAGATAAATAACCCTAGTTATCATTAGAAACGTTTATCTGGCCTGGCCGGTGTGGCTCAGGATCGAGCGTTGTCCCGTGGACTGAGGAGTCCCAGTTTGACTTCCGCTCAGGGCACATGCCCAGGTTTCGGGCCTGATCCCCAGTGGGGGGCGTGCAGGAGGCAGCTGATCAATATTTCTCTCTCACATGGATGTTTCTCTTTCTCCCTCTCTCTCTAAAAAAATCAATAAAACATTTAAAAAAATGTTTACCTGTGTTTATCAAAGCAAAATGCACAGCAGCACCAGAGACAACTATTTCAACAAAGAAACTGTCACCAGGGACTCTATGAAACCAAGTCACCTTACCTTAAGATTTTCTTCCTTGAAAATTATTGGAGTTAAAGTTCTCCGACCTTCTTTGGGGAAATAAACTTGTATCATCCGATCTCGTTCTTCCCAGGAGGCTTTGCGTAGTATGCCACTTGGTTCTCTGACAACAATAAAACGCTCCTGAAATAGAAAACATAATCAAGGATGAGTTTATGAGGATTTATTTTTAGTTCCGGCATCCCACTAAACACCATTAGAAGAATACTTTGCAATCAATAATATGAGGTACACTAGGAAACATAAAATGCAATCATGTGCATGATTTCAATGATAATTTTAAACCTCAAAGACTTGGCTAAGATTTGATACTTCCTTCACTAATCACTGTGTGCCTCTGACGATCAGAAATCTAAAACGAAAGTATTTACTAAGTGCCAACTATGGTCCTAAAGTGGGTTCAATACATAAAAAGCTTCAACTAAGAAAAGGTGATCTGAGATTCATCTAAATGCATTTCAGAAGAAAAAGTGCTATAAAACCTTTTCAAATTGTTTCATTTTCCCATGCCAAAGTCTCACCTAAACAGACTTTCCTATTTGATGATCCATGTTTAAAGACCTGGGGATAAAAGGAACAAGCCCAAAAATGTGTCAGACTGACTGGTCCACCTGCCTCTGGTCTCTCCACTCTTCCAACTGCCATATCTGAGCCATGGGATCACCTCTTCTGAATTCCAACCACTCTCTGTACCACTCAAATGACAATTTTCATATGCAGAATTTTTTCTTTTTTTGGTACGTGCCCCTAGCGGGAACTGAACCCAGGACTCTCTGGTCCGCAGGCCGATGCTCTAACCGCTGAGCCAAACTGGCCAAGGCCAGGTGCAAGATTCTTAACACCTCTCAAATACTGTTAATATTGTTACAGAACTGGAAAAAAGCAGGAACTTTGGATTATAATTCTTTGTAATACCCAGAGAGACACAGAGCTTTGCATATAGCAGATAATTGATACATATCTAATTAAATTAACCAGGTGGTACTGACTCAACCTTTCAGAGGTAAAGAGTCTCTGAATGTGTTTTGAGGATAATATAATTTTCATCAAGCACTGCAAATAGAAAAAAATATAGCAGATGTCAAAATAACACAATTGTTCCTTAAAATTATTTTGGTAATTTGATATTCCAAGTTCCTTCTTCCCTTTCAGATTATAGAATGCTCTCACAAACCAGCCTTCACAGCGTTGCGAACATTTATTAAAGGACCCTAAAGCAAAAATTGTAATTCAAATGAAAATCTACGATGTGTATACATCAGATACATGGGTGGTTCATGTACAGACATGGACATTGCTCAAATCATGTCTTCTAACCTAATCATATGTGTTAAAAGGATTAATGTGGGGTGGCCCTTTTCTCAACCCTCGCATTATATCATTTTGTGGGCTGAATTATAAATTACTTTTTCCTCTTTACTTGAGAAGGCTCAAAGAAAAAACTGACATACTTTATAAGTACTAGAGTGTTCTTTTGGAACTGGCAATTGAGGGAAGAAGAATAGCAAATAAAAACTACATCAGAAATGGTGCTATCAGAATTACCTGGGAACACATGCCATTCTTACTGCAAATTCTGAAAAATGAAAATCCTGTGGGAATTTTTTGGCATCATCAAGTACTTACAGGAAAGAAACACTCTATCTTTTCAAGGAACACATCAGCTAAGGGAGTCAGTCCAACCTGGGCAGAAAGAATTTCCCTCTTCCCATGTTTGAAGACATCTGCCCCTTGTTCTGCCTCAGCACACCTATCTCCGTCTTTGCAGTCAACCTGGAACACACTGTGTTCGTAATCTGCGGGGAATGGGAACATGATGTGGGGCTGGTCTGCATTTCTCTTCTTCCTTAAGCTGTATCTTCCAAAAGGTTCTTACCCAGGCACAGAAATCCTGGTTCGGAAGATTCAGACAGCTAGGTCACATGATGTTGACCCCTGTCCCTAGTCCCACCTCCACATAGTATTTCAAACAAAGATCATTTCGTGATCAGACATATACTTACCCGGTGCGGTATGCTATATGTTATATCAGTAAACACGTATTTGGCTGTTTCTGTTCCTTCCAAAATCTTATCTTCAGCAATCACATCATTTATTGGTGTACGCTCTTCCAGAACTGGTGGCATTTTTAATCGTACTTTAGCTGCCTCAACTGCCTGTCTTGTAGCCTAATGAAATAAAATATTTCTTAAGGAAAGCTACATGGTTCCAGACCAAAGGATCATCTGACAAAAGCAGACAGCAGTCAAAAACACTAAGGACGACAAGGAGAAGAAGCCATAGCTATGAACCAGTGAGTGAACCAGTGAGTGGGCTCCTGGGCCCCGGCTTTGCCTCTGTGGCATGGCTGAGAGCACCAGCTATAGGCTCAACTATTCTCAAAACAGCAAAGGAATGCTCTGAGGCAGAGCCAGGCCACAAAAGCTGCTTGAGTCTGGCTGGTGTGGCTCAGTGGTTGAGCATGGACCCTTGCACCATGAGGTCACCAGTTCGATTCCCAGTCATGATACATGCCCAGGTTGTGGGTCAGATCCCCAATGGGGGGCCTGCAGGAGGCAGCCAATCAATGTTCTCTCTCATTGATGTTTTGCTCGCTCTCTATCCCTCTCTCTCTAAAAGCAATAAAGAAAAATAAAATTAAAAAAAAAAAGAACGTCTCTTTAAAAAAAAAAGCTGCTTGAAATAGGATAAAGGATCTCATTTATTGGGTGCTTGCTATGTGCCAGATATTGTTCAAATTCTCTGAATATATTTGGCCCACAACTACCTTATGGTGCTATTGCTACCTCATTTTATGGGTGAGAAGACAGAGGTACACAAATGTCAAGTAAACTGCTAGGAAGTTGCAACACTGGGATTTGAACCTAGACAACTCAACCCCCGAGTCCATGTTCTTAACCACTGACCACACCACGCTGTTAACAATGATTACCGCTGAAAGGTGTAAGGGAAATGTTCATTCTTCATGTGATATACTAATGGATATTTGAATTTTTGCTATGATTATAGATTAGTTTTGAATTAGAGCAATAATGCTTCACGTATTCATACATCAAAACCTTTTCCACAAAGCACTCAATACCCATGACTCTAGGAGGACCCTGCTGCCTAGAGCAGGATGCTGTTCAGAAGGCTCTCATCTCACCAAAATTTCAGCCTCACAGCAGCTCACAACTGTCTCTCCACGAAGGCAGATGGAGCAGGCAGGACAAAGGAAGGATGCTCAGGCTGGTTTTGCAGCACAGGAGGCTCTACTTGACCCACAAGCCCCACTCTGCCTAATTTGGGCCATGCTCCCTGATCCTCCGCCTGCCTGCTAATAGTTCTTTCCTCAGTTCTGTGCTTGGGATTCCCCCTTCATTAATGCCTGTAGAAGAGCAAGTATCAACATCTGGAGGGGCCTCTAGAAATTTTTTTTAACCCTTTAACGAAAAGTATTCTACCAACATTCCTGCATTCACATACCTCTTCCAACTGTGCCTGAGTCATTAGCTTATAGGTTGGTGGCTTTAGTTTTTGTACAGCTGGCTTAAAAGTTTTCTGCAAATTCAAGCCTGTCATCTTGATGAGTATGCTTTGGACTTCTTCATCCATAAATGTAGGTTTCTTGATCTCAGGGCTACCAGATTCTGTTAAAATAATTTAAGAAAATAAGAAATGGAAAAAATGACAAGCCAACACGACCTCTGAATAGGAAAGCTAAAGATAAAAATGATTAATACCATGTCTACCTCAATACACATAATGCTAATAATACCTATGAGATTCATTTACTGATTCATTCCTTCATTTAAACTTTACTGAATATTCACGATGATAAGGATATAGTTTCTACCGAAAAAGCACTCAAAGTCTAGTGGAGGAAGCAACAGGAAAAAAAGTAATTAATATAGTAATATTAATAATAACAATTGCTTTCATTTACAAAGTTGTCTCCTACATGCCAGCATTACATACAGGAATGCTTAGAACAACCCACCAAATAGGTATTAATATCCCAATTTTATAAATGAGGATACTGGAGCCTGCCTAAAGACCTAGCTATTAAGGGATAGAGCCAGGATTTAAACCAAGCCTAGATCAATTCCAATCTATCATGGTGCTCCTCAGTGCAAGTGCTACACACCAGGGAGGCAAGGAGAGTTGTGTGACTATTAAGGAAGGAATTAAACACAGCCTGGGAGCATGTGGGGTATGATGGGGTCAAAGGAACCTAAATAGGGCAGAGAAAAAAAGGGAAGAAAATTCTAGGCTGAGGGGCTGCAGCTGGGGAAGAAAGGCCTGGATTGGACATGATACTAAAAGGCCACGTGGTGACATGGAACAGCCTTGAATGAGAGAGGAGACCCAGATCTAGTTCTGCCCCATGCAGTTCACCTATCCCTTTGCCTAACCTCCATTTCCACTTCCATTAGGGGGGAAAAAGCAGTTTCTTCCTGGCCAACTCTTCCTCTGCTAGTCCTATAAATGTTGGTGTCCCTGAGGATTCTGAACTATATCCTTCTTTTCTCTCTTCTCACATTCTTAGTGGATGATTTCCTAGCCTCCTATAACTTAATTACTTCTATATGCTGGAAACGCTCAAATCTGAATCTTCAGCCAAGATCATCTTCCATCCAAATACCCAGTGGACATCGCACATGCACTTCGATATTACTAAAGCAGACCCCATCAACCTGCTCCTGTCTTACACCTGCATTTCCTACTATTCCTTATCTTACCACCTCTCAATAGGTCATGTGAGCCAGACACCACATAGTCATTCTTGACATGTCCTTTACCCTCCACACCTAGCCAATAGCAGCAGTAGTAGTAATAGTAGTAACAGCTGACATTTGTTAGATATTTCCAATGGGCCAAGACTTACTGAGCTAAGTACTTTACATACTTAGCACATTTAAAACTCACAACAACCCCATACATACTATGATTATCCCCATTTTACAAAGAAGGACACTGACACAGAATATATTGCCTGTCAACCTCATACATTTTCTTTAACCCTCCATTTCCCACTGCCACTGCCCTAGTCAAAGCCATCCTCATCTCTTGCCTCAGCCTCCTCAAGTCTCCCTGCCTCCATTCTGACTCCACTACATAAACCATTCTCCACAGGATCACCAGAGTATACTCTTAAAAATGTAATCTAAATAGAAAAGATTAACGAAAGAACTGGTTCTTTAGAAAGATAAACAAACTTGACAAATCTGTAGCTAGACTAACCAAGGGAAAAAAGAACCCAAATCAACAAAATTATAAACAAAAAAGGAGACATTACAACTGGTATCACAGAAAACACAAAGAAAAAAGCATGAGGATACTATGAATATGCCAACAAACTGGACAACCAAAAAGAAATGGAAAAATTCCTAGAAACATACAACCTACCAAGACTAAAGAAGATAATCATACCTTTACAAAGTGTTCCCCCTGATATTTCCAGTACCAACCTAGCACCGTACATAATTATTACAATATTACTGACTATATTTCCTATGCTGTACTTTGCATTCCCATGACTATTTTCTAACTACTGATCTGTACTATGCTGTACACCTGAAACTAATACAAAATAATACTGAATGTAAACTGTGTTTAAAAAGAATTTTTAAAATTTTTTAATTAAAAAAAAAAAGAAAAGAAAGAAAATCAGAACAGACCAATTACTAGTAAGGAGACTGAATTAGTAATCAAAAATTTCTCAATGAATAAAGGTCTAGGACCAGATGATTTCACAGGTGAATCTTACTAAACATTTAAAGAATTAACACCAATCCTTATGAAATTTTTCCCGAAATGGGAGAGGAGGGAACATTTCCAAACTCATTTTACAAGGCCAGCATTAACCTGATACCAAAGCCAAGAAAGGACACTGACAGAAAGCTACAGGGCAGTACGTTCTGCAAAAATTATCAATAGCAAATTGAATTCAGTAGCACACAGAAAAGATCATTCACCATGATCAAGTGGGATTTATCCTTGGGATGCATGGATGGTTCAACATACTCAACTCAGTGCGATACATCACATTAATAGAATGAAAGAAAAAAAATACCATGATCCCTTCCACGGAAGCCAAAAAAGCATCTGACAAAATTCAACATCCATTCATAATAATAACTCTTAACAAATTAGGTATAGAAGAAACATACCTCAATATTATAAAGGCCATATGTGGCAAACCCATAGCTAACATACTCAGTGGCAGAAGGTTGAAAGCCTTTCCGCTAAGGTCAGGAACAAAAAAGGAGTACTCACTCTCATCACTACTATTCAACAGTACGAGAAGTCCTAGCCAGAACAATGAGACAAGAAAAAAAAAAGGCATTGGAACTGGAAAGAAAAAAGTAAAATTATCTCTATTTGCAGATGACATGATTTGATGATATATAAAAAAATACTATCCTTATCGAAAATACACCAAAAATGGTACATCAAATAAACAAATTCAGAAAAGTTGCAGAATATACAACCCCACCCTGTGGGCACTGATTATGCAAATTGAGGCTTGCTAACAACCAGCATCTGCCCCACCCTCGGGATATCCCCTTATGCTGAGCACCTGAGGGAGTTTTTCAATCAACTGACAACCCAAAACTCATCAAGTAACCTGGACTGCTAGCCTCCAGGCAAAAAGCTAGAGGATAACAGTACCATTCCTGGGCTAGCAACCCTAACTAGGAAAGTAAGACTTGACAATGGTGTTTAACATGGGTCCTCCCTCGCTCATCTAAACCCAGGAGAGGGAGCCACAAACAGCAGAACACCAACACCCACAGGAAAAACTTGGCAGGCTCCAAAGCCCACTGTGATAGCCAAAATGGTGAAACACAGAAACAAAAGCCAAATGAAAGAGCAAGAGACCTCCACCGAAGATGAGATCAATGTGGAGCAGTTAGGCAAGTTAACAGAGCTAGAATTAAGAGCCATGATCTTGAGGAAGCTCAACAGCATGAGTAAGGACATAGAGACGCTGAAAATAAACCAAATGGAAATGAAAAACCACCAAGAAGAGATCAAGAGTGACATGTCAAAAATAAAGAACACACTGGAAGAGCTAAAGAGCAGAGTAGAGGAAGCTGAGGACTGGATCAGCGAATTAGAAGACAGGGTAGAAAAAAATCAACCAATCAGAAAACGAAAAGGAAAAAATGATTAAAAAACAGGAAGACAGCTTAAGAGAATTGTGGGACAACTGGAAACGGAATAATATTCGCATCATAGGAGTCCCTAAAGAAGAAGAAAATGAGCAAGGGTTAGAGAATATATTCAAAAAAATAGTGACAGAAAACTTCCCTAATTTGGTGAAGGAAGAAGACATTCAATTTCAAGAAGCACAGAGAGCCCCAAGTAAGAAGAACCCAAATAGGCCCACACCAAGACACACAGTAATTTAAATGCCAAAAATTAAAGACAAAGACAGAATCCTAAAAGCAGCAAGAGATAAGCAACAGGTTACCTACAAAGGAAACCCCATAAGGCTCTCAGATGGCTTCTCACAAGAAACACTACAGGCCAGAAGGGAATGGTATAAAGTAATCAAGGTCATGAAAAACAAGGATCTGAATCCAAGACTACTCTACCCAGGAAGGCTATCATTCAAAATAGAAGGTCAAATAAACAGCTTTCCAGACAAAAAAAAGGCTAAGGGAATACATTAGCACGAAACCAGCACTGCAAGAAATGTTAAAAGGACTGCTGTAATTAGTAGAAGAAATAGGAAGAAAAATATAACCAAACTAAACAAAAATGGCAATAAATAAGTACATATCAATATTCACCTTAAATGTAAATGGACTAAATGCTCCAATAAAAAGACACAGAGTAGCTGATTGAATAAGAAAGCATGACTCATCTATATGTTGTTTGCAAGAGACCCACGTCACAACAAAAGACTCACATAGGTTGAAAGTGAAGGGATGGAAAAAAATTTTCCACGCAAACAGAAAAAAAAAAAGCTGGGGTACCAATATTCATATCTGATAAAATAGATTTCAAAATGAAGACCATGACTAGAGACAAAGAAGGGCACTAAATAATGTTGAAAGGATCTATCCAACAGGAAGATATAACCTTGGTAAACATATATGCACCCAATATAGGAGCACCAAAATATATTAAAAATCTTCTGGAGGACTTCAAAGGAGAAATCGACAGCAATACAATCATAGCAGGGGACTTCAACACCCCGTTGACACCACTGGATAGATCCTCTAGGCAAAAAATTAGCAAGGAAACAGAGACTCTAAATGAAGCACTAGACCAAATGAATTTAATAGATATCTACAGAGAATTACACCCCAAAACTACAGATTTCACATTCTTCTCAAGTGCACATGAGACATTCTCAAAGATAGACCACATGATAGGACACAAACTAAATCTCTATAAGTTCAAGAAGACTGAAATCATATCAAGCATCTTCTCAGATCACAATGGCATGAAACTAGAAATCAATTGCAACAAGAACATGCAAAGACATTTGAACACATAGAGGCTAAATAGCATGTTATTAAACAATGAATGGGTTACCGAGGAGATCAAGGAGGAAATTAAAAACTTCCTGGAAAGCAATGAAAATGAACACACAACAACACAAAATCTATGGGATACAGCAAAAGCAGTTCTG